AAAAGTGATTCATGATGGCTGTGACTTGGCTGAGCCATAATTTGGGCAGGAAGACCTGTTCCTTGGGCCAGGGCTGTGTTGCAGGTGCTCGCTGGCATGGCCGTGCTGAGGCACAGGGAGCTCTCTGCATGGACTGCTCCTCTCTGTCCCCAGGGGTCTGTCCCTGCTAGAGGCGATGCTGATGGGACATAAGGCACAATTGCAGCATATTAGACTCTTCCTACCTCTCTGAGGAGCGAGTGGCTCTCAGCTCTCACCCTGTGCATATAGATAAGAGATGCTCTGCAGGGAGTGGAGGAGCGCTCTTAGACTGGGTTTGTTTGCAAACACCCTGCTCATGTTACTCTGTGAGTGTCTGGAGAACAGGCATGTTTTCAAATATTTTCAGACTTCAGGACTGTCCTCACAGTATGTGGGTACTGAGGGAACTGGCTAATGCGCCTGCAAGGCTGCTGTGTTATCTTTGAAAGGTGGCGGAGAGCAGCAGAGTTTCCTGATGACTGGAGACCCATGGCACGTGGGTTACCCATCTTCAGAAAGCACATGAAGGTCAACCTGGAGAGCTACAAGCTAGTCGGCCTCACTTCAGCCCCTGGAGATTTCTGCACGTATCAAAGAGAAGGTGATTGGGCACAGTCAGTACGGTTTTACCATGGGTAAATGGTGCCTGGCTGACCTGGTTGTCTTCTGTGATAAAATAACTGGATTTGTGGATGAGGGGAGACCAGTGGATGTTGCTTACCTTGACTTCAGCAATTTCCAACAGCCCTTTCCCAGTGCTTCAAGTTTCCTCTCCTGTGTGGGAAGTGGCAGTCTCTCCATGCGTCCTGGGTGTACATGGAGCTTGCCCCCCTCCCCCCACCCAGTACCATCAGTCAGCCTTTGACTGAAACTTGCTTTTAAGAGAAAATCCTCCTCTTCTTTTTTGTCCAGTTCATTTCATTTCCTCCTTTGGGCATTCAGACTTCATTGTCTGACCTGCAGTGATCCGTTCAGAAAAAAATGGGCAGTTCAGAAACCCTGAGCTAAGGTCACATGTTGTGAAATAACTTCTTGTTAAAGACGAGTGTCTTTTGTATTCCTTTTAATTGCCTTTTCCTGCTTAGGTTATTTGACGAACAGTGTCATGCATTGCAAAGGAAGTCCCATCTGATCAGCAAATATTAATCAAAACATCATTTGCGTATAACCCTGTTCCTGCTGTTGCCCTCATGAATGTTAGAATAGCAGCGTGTCCTCTGCAGCCTTGCGTAGCTTTGCTCTTAGCTGGCAATAACCTCCTGGAAGGAGGATGTGTTGGATATTGGCATTAAGGGCACACTGCAGGCGTAGGAACCCATGTGTTAATGGAGAGGACGCTGTCTTGGAGCAGACAGACTGGCGATAGCTCATGGATATGCCCTTGAGTGACCTTCACTGGAAACGAATGCACTTGCAAGAGCTTCTGCATTTTAGGAATTTCGAAACGGGGCTGGTTTAAGTGACTGCAAATTAATCATGCTTGCAGGTTATCCTGCCGTCCCCGGGACTTTGTTTCTGTTCACCTCTGGGATTGTATTCAACACAGGAAGCAGCAAGTAGCCACCAGTCAGTATAAACAGCTCTTCTGGATGATGTGGAGTGAATCTGTGCTGAAATCATGCGAAGGGCCAAAGTGCTGGGTGCGCGGGGTCTGTGCCAAGCTGCCTCCTTACAGCAGTGCTCGCTCAGGGAGCTGCCATGCCCTGGCGTCATCCACACGGTTACATGGTTGTCCTCCTGCAGCTCCTAGGCAGCTGGAGTGATGCCCTCCAGAGCATTCTTCTTCAACAGGAGCTAAGGTTCAAAAAGGATGGTCCCACTTTTCTTTATTTCAGCGAAACCTAGGAGCAGGCCTACAACCCGTGCTGAACACGACGCTTAGCTGCTCTCTCCTCCACTTGGCAAGCTGCTGAAGCCCGGGTTCAAGCATCTGCTTGCATGGCTCCTAAGTGGTCCAGCTCCACAGGGCAACCCCAAATTGCCTCTCTTGACATTTTGTGCAGCACAGACAGACTCACAGCCTGCCAGGGTGGAGGCATGCGGACGATGTCTCCTGTGCAGCCCTCTCGATGGGCGGCAGCGCTCTTCCCTCCTGCCCTGGGGCTGAACCCCTGCGGGGCTGCAGGTGCAGGCCGAGGCTCGCAGGCTCCCATCTCCCCCTGTAGCGTGAGCAATGCCTTACTCTGGCACCGTGTGGGGACCTGCAGAGAGCGTGAGCGGTTTTGAAGGCTGCCTTGGGGACGTCGTCCAGCGCATAGCATCTCCCTGAGCCGCCAGCCAGGAGCCTCTCTTCTGGTGGAGGGATGCTGGCCTGTCTGTGCTGAGGTGATGTCGGTAGTAGTGCCAGGACACTGCGCTGCTGTGTGGATAATGGTCTTGGGGCTTGGAGCTCCTACTTTGGAAAGGGCTGCCTTCTTTAGGAGAGAAAACGTCTCCTCGTTTACTCACGTGGCCGTAGTGAGCATATCGTTCCATCTGTGGTGCATTGACAGCAAACACAAGGATGGCAAAGGGAAGGTAGAAAGCGCAGGTAAGGAATTTAGCCTGTGCGTGCTGTTTGCTTGATTTCATTATTTCTTTTCTTACCCCCTTTTTAGATTACCAGAAAATTCAGGCTCAATTCTGATGGGAAACTTGAACAAACTGTCTCGATGGCAACCACTACGCAGCCCATGACTCAACACCTCCACATTACCTACAAAAAGGTGACGCCTTGACGCCGGGAGGGCTGGGTCTCCCTGCCGAGGGTGAGGGCCTGGGGCATTGTGCACCAAGAGCAGCGGCAGCTCGGGAGCACAGCATGGCAGACCCCGGAGCTGGCTGCCTGCGCTCGCCCCCGGGGCCGCTGAGCTGCCCGTCCTGTTGAGAATGCTACTCAGATGTTTCTGTAATGGTATATTAAAAAAAATAAAAAGCTTTTATTTTTATGGCTGTGTCTTTGGGTGTGATTGCAGAGTGGTTTGCATGTCCCTTTGCTCTGGCAGTGGTTACAGAGGGGCTTTTTGATGCCTGTTCATTAGTAGGCGTTGGGTTGCAGATCCAACCTCCTGGACCCTTCTCTGCAACCTGAGTAATGCCATGGAAGCAGCAGGATGAGGAATGGATTTGCACTGCAGGGACAGACCCTGAGAACTCCAGCTCCTGCCTAATGAAACCTGGCTTAAATAGTCAGAGGGAGCACCTAGCTCTTGCTGTGGGATGGAGAGAGCTGTCACAGGGCCCAATCCTGATGGTGCCGTCCAGCTGACTTCAAAGGACTTGGAGGTCAGGACCAGACCTTACCTAGCTTCAGTGCATAATGTCACAAGAGTTTGGATGACAACTGTGAGCCAACAGGCAGCAAGAGAAACTGTAACCAGTG